ATAATCGAACAAAAACCCCCACCTTCGTCTCGGAAGTTTTGCAATAAATCTTCAAGTGGCCCTTTTCCTCAGGGCTTTTGAGCTGCTAGGAGAGTCTGACTGGAGTGGGGAGTAGCAGCGTGCGCCCAGGAGAGCAGAGGCAAGGATGGAGGGGCAGGAGGGAAGCCTGGTGCTTGTTTGCAAGTTGAGAGTTTAAGTCGCCAGAAGGTGCTAGTTTTTAAAGCAAATATGTCATGTGCTGCTAAAACATCTTCGGGACAAAAATGTGTCAATTTATATGCACGCTGTTTCACAGCGAGGTTTTGCAGAATGTAAGCTCAGCATGCGTATATATATATATACACACACGTGTATATATGTACATGTTTCATCCCTGCCTCATCTGCTCTCCTGAGTGTGCACTAGTAGCTCATCCTCTAATCACACTCTCCTAACAACTGAGGCAACCTGAGGGAAAATTTGTGTATTTAAGTGCCTAGTGTATTTTTTTTCTCCCCTGGAAGTAGAGATAACATTTTCGTTTTACCTGAAATGATGAAGATTTTCTTGCTAGGCAGTAGAACTTGCATGACCTTACAAGCTAGGAATGATAAACTTGCATGTAAGACTTACCACACAGATAACAAAACATGAAATGAAATTGGTTATCAGAAATACTTCAGCATGTGGATAACATTTTATATATATATTTTCTGGATTATTAAACAAAAATAACGTTTGGTAAACATTTGGTTCTTAAAGGAGAATATTATAAAACTAGACCCATTTGTCCACTAGGTGTCCATAGGTCCAAGCAGGAGTGATAACTTATCCTGATAATTTATCACTCTGATATAATCTGATGTAATATATCTCTATATAATATATCTATATCTATATAATATATCACTCTGATAATTTATCACCCTGATAATTTATCACTCCTGCTTCAACATAAATTCAGTGTTAGTGACTACCGCAAATTCTTCTTAATCTTTTACTTTTTTATTGCTTTCCTGTTTTTAGTTTTCATATATTGACCCCAAGTGCAGTTGTCAGTCTATTTACATATATATATATTTTTTACCTCTTGCTTTTCAAGTAACATTTTTTTTTCTGTAAGTTTCATAGCTCTTATTTTCAGTTCTGTATCATGGCTGCAGGTCTAGCTTAAAAAAATGCAATGGATAAATGCATTGAAGAAGGGTGAAATTATAGTTTGTCCTGTTTCCTGTTTTCAGCTACATGGGTAACATTTTACAGCATTGTTATGCTTGTTTATATTTTTTTTCCTTTTTATTTTTTAAGGGTTCTGAGTCTGGATTTAAATAAGGACAGGGATGTAGAAAGAATACATGGGTGTGGTATCAACTCCCTTGATATTGAGCCTGTTGAAGGAAGATAGTAAGTATAAACCTTAGTTTGGTAAGCAGATTTTATGCATACTTCACTGTGTTTAGGTATTACAGAGGTATTTTCTTGTTGCATATATGAACCTTTACTTCTTTTGAGCAGATTGAGATTAGAAGTATTGTAACTTCTGTGCTTTCTTTACACTTGCAGCATGTTATCAGGAGGGTCGGATGGTGTTATTGTGCTTTATGACCTTGAAAACTTCAGCAGAAAGCCTTGCTACACATGTAAAGCAGTTTGCTCCATAGGAAGGTAAGGACTTGAAACAACAACAATTCTGGCAAACGTTCTCTGGTATTTATTGTGTGACTTGCGTTAAATATATAAATAAATGCACATTTTTCTTTTTTCTAAATCATGCTAAATGCTATAAATAATACCAGAATTCTTTGCAAAAAGCTGGCATTACGTATTTTTGGTACATAGAGCAAAACAAGAAACTTTGTGAGGGTTCATGTGATTTGTTAAATAAGGGGAGCAAATTCTGTTCTCTTTCTTTTATTATTGTCTAATCAACAGAAATACTTTATGTGCTGTGACAATTTGCCACTATTGTTTGAACAGCGCTCTGCCTGTCAGTTCAAAACCCTGAAATGGTAGGTATTAATTGCTAGTTAAAATAGAGAAGTTTGGTGTTACTGCATCATAGAGAAGTTGAGGTTAGAAGTGACCTCTGGAGATCATCTGGTCCAGACCCCCTGCACAAGCATGGTCAGCTAGAGCTGGCTGCTGAGGAGCATGTCCAGGCAGGTTTTGATATCCAAGGAAGGAGATTCTACAGCCTCTCTCATGTTCCAGTGTTCAGCCATCCTTGCAGTAAAGTATTTTCTCGTCTTCAGATGAAACTTCCTGTATTTAACTTTGCAGCCCTTGCCTCTTCTCTCTTCTCTGTCACTCGGAGAAGCCAGTCTCATCCTCTTTGCACCCTTTGGTGTGTAGATCTTTGCAGCCTTTGTTTTTTTGGTGTAGACGTAAGCAAAAAGCCAGGATTAGGACTCCAATTTTTTTTTTTTTTTCCTTAACAATGGAAAAGGATATGTTTTCTATTCTATGTGACAGCTCCTCATCTTTCATTTTTTCCTGTTATTTCATGTTGAAATTTTCTGACTTTATGCCAGTAAAGATTATAAAATAATTCTGACTTTTACATATATATTTCTGGTTACATTTTCTATAAGCATATAATTATTATGTGTGTTTTGGAATAATTTTATGTCTAGGCAAAGGAAATGAAGCAGATATAACTTCATCTTTTTGGAAAAAAATCTAGTGTAGATTGAGTGACTGATTTTACTTCCTCTCTCCCTGCCTTCAGCTTCACAAGCAGCTATTTTCGTGACACTAGATGTTATCGATGTATAGGTAATTAAAGTAAAACTTCTTGAGAACATGTTTGAGTGAAGACAGATGTGTCACAGGTAAAAAGGGAACATATTTTTCTAAGACCAAGGGCTGCCATGCAGTTTGTGTAATCTGTATACGACTCAAGCCTTTATCAGACTTATCGGATTTTTCAGATTTTCTTTCAGGCAGTAAAAATTGGCCCCTTCTGGGCTCTTAAGTCTTCTAGTGAAAGTTGTTTATCCTTGTGTTTTAGATAGCACAGCTGTCTAGCAGGTTAGGATTTTATCTAAGGCTCGTAGTAAGATACATCCTGCCTTTTAAAAGGTTAGTAGTCATATTTTCCCCTTAATTTTTCCCAGTCTTCAAGCTATTTGAGGCCTAAGAGTTTCATGACTGAGAGTGACCTGAGCAGAAAAGATTTGTGTAAGAGACCTAAATTGTCCTGCACCTTAAGAAGGAAAAAAAATAATAGAGCATGCATCAATGTTCCTACCCTACAAATGGGTAAGAACAGAATGCACTGCAAGTAAACTGCATTTGGAAAGTGATGTCTAGAAGTGCTTCAACAAAATAAATGAAAATTGTAGTTAAGAATAAGTAATAACTATACATCACTGAATCCCAAACTAAATTTCTGAAACATACACTACAAACTGAAGATTTTTAGCTTGACTCACTTCTGCACAAAGTCAGGTGAGTTCTAGCACTGTGACAAGGTAACAGGATTTTGCAGGGTATGACTTAGAAATAGCCATTACAGGAGTTAAAAGCTCAGTAGTTCTTGCTTAGTACAGCCAATTGTGGCTTCAGGCTGACTTTATTTGAAAAAGTTCAGGTATCTCCTGTTTTTCTAGCAAGCCAGGCAAACGGGCAAGTTAACTGAAGTGTGGTGCCAGATATGTATGTATATATGAATTTTTATATACCCATATATATCACATATATTTACATGTGTGTATACACGCATATACAGACTACACAGACATATGCGCACGCACACACCCCTATACACAAAATCTCTCACTTAAACAATGATGTTTGCAACAGTGATAACTTTGGTGTCGAGCACACTTACTTGAGAGAACATTGCAAAGAGAAGAACTGAAGTGAGGAAATCCTGTGGGCTCCTCCCTAGCTCCAAAGAGAGCCAATTAAACTTTTTTTTCCTGATGCTTCTCAGTCTGGGAACTGAGTATTGAGAAGTAATAATACATATTATTAATCTCTCAGGCACGCCCAGAACAGTACAACTAGTTTACTGTTCTGGGCGTGCCTGAGAGAATCTTATTGTTCTTAAACTGGCTGATTTGGCCCTGATGTGCCCGCTTCCCAGCGCAGTTGATATATTATTAATTAGATCTCATTGCTGTATACAGTGGAGTTGAAAGTTACTGTATCAAGATAATATTTTTCTTCTTATTTTACTTCACAGAATCACTGAGTGGTTAAGGTTGGAAGGGACCTCTAGAGACCATCTAGTCCAACTCCCCTGCTTCTACAGGGACACCTAGAGCACATGGCACAGGGTGGCATCCAGGCAGGTTTTGAAGATCTCCAGAGAAGGAGACTCCACAACCTCTCTGGGCAGCCTGTTCCAGGGCTCTGTCACCCTCACAGTAAAGAACTTCTTCCTCACATGGAGGTGGAACTTCTATGTTTCAACTTAACACCCATTGTCCCTTGTCCTGCCACTGGCCACTGTGGAGAAGAGTTTGGACCCCACTTGTGAATTTGAAATTGTTTTTGTGTAACCAAGTATCAAGTAACTGTTATAGTTGTAGTTATTAGTTAATGCTAAATCATGATCACTAACATTAATGCTTCAAATTATGCATGATCATATTATACAGTGGATTCAACCAGTGGCTTTTGAGACACATAAGTGGTTTGTAGTGTTAGGCAATAACTTGATCTTCAGACATGAAAACTCAAGTTTTTCAAGAGATTAGTATCTTTTGTGCCTGTCACTGCCTTAGCTTGAGATATGCTCAAGATGCCAAATTTTGGAAAGGTAAATAATCTGCGCCTGTGCACCTCCTTTGTCCAAGGTAAATTAAAGAACCCTTATTTAAAAATTAAGGCACTAAAATCGGTCATATCGGTCATTGAAAGCTTGGGTATAATTTTTTAAAACCTTCCAACTCCATTTTCAGCTTGTGTCACTTAGTTTCCAGACAGTTAACGACAGTTGACTTGAGTCAACTGGGATCTTTTACTCATTTATAGGAGCCATCCTGATGTACATAAATACAGCGTTGAGACAGTTCAGTGGTATCCTCATGACACCGGCATGTTTACATCTAGCTCATTTGATAAAACATTGAAAATATGGGATACAAATACTTTACAGGTAAGTAAATCAAATTTTTATAGACTTCTGGGTATCTGTCTATATCATTCTCTCTGCATCTGCAGTTCACGTAGACCTGAATAGGAGCAAACCTCTGGAAGGGTGAGAAATAACTGGTTGTTAGAACTAAGGGCAGAGCAGCAAGGTGCTGTGGGTCCGGCATTCTCACCCGAGCGCGTGTCTGTTAGGTTCTGTAGACCTGAATACCTAAATGGTGGGAGACCTTGGAGCCCTCAGGGCTGTTCCTTCCTGCTTCAGCCACAAGCAGGAGTACATGCTGCTGATTTTGTGCTACATCAGTTTTCCTATCGAGGGCTAATCTGAAGTTGTAGTTCATTTTTCCAGGGTTGTTCAGTGCTTCACAGACAATATTTACTATTTAGTTTCTTTCTATAGCAATAAGAGTATACAGCAGTAAGAGTGTACAGCAGCGCTGTGTGTTTTTAGTAAGCAAGGCATAGATACCGCTATGGAAACGTTGACCTTGGCCTTTAGGAAGAGAAGGGATGTAGAGAAACGTAGTGTCATTTATTGGAGTGTATTAAAAAGCAGTGATCACGTAGGTTTGGAAAAGACCTCCTGGGTCACTTAAGAGGTGTGAAGCTATATTTACTGTCACTAAACATGATCTTAAATGCACAGCTCCATTTATATTATGTGTGGCTCTGCGAGCATGGCTTAGACAACACAGTGTTTACATGAAGGTTTTTAACTGACCTGCACTTGGCCACCAAACTGTATTTGAAAACATAGACAACTTAGGTTCAAGTTATATTTCTATTCAATAGACAACAAAAAGAAGTGTACATGGAAGCCATTGTGTTAGCTATCAAAGACAGTACTGTTCTGGGGGTTTTATTTTATTCTTAATTTTTAACATTGTCAAGGGAGTTAGTCATTGTATGTATTTCATACTTTTTAATACTTAATTTCTTGGAGGAATGAAGGGTAGTGTATGGTGTTTGTGAACTGACAAGGAGCTCTTAACTTTAGTCTAAGTTTTTCTTCCCTAGTGACCTTTTTCTCCATACTGTTTGGAACTTTCCTGCATTTTGTTTGTTTGTTTGTTTTTAATCGTCCCTCGTCTCTTTTTGCTTTCATTTTTTAACTTGTGATAAACTTTAAATGTCTCCCATTTGTGCTTTTGATCAGTCAACTTTCTTCATCTTTCTTCTGGGTCACCTTCCAGGTTTGATATAATTGTCTAATGTTTTAACCAGACTTACTTTGCGATGTTTACATGATTGCTTTACTAAGTGGGAACCTTATTAGTAGTATGTCAACAGTAATATTTATATTAGTTTTATTTGCAGCTGAAATTTGGGAAATGCTTAATAAAAAGCATGTGTGTTCTTACAGCATATGTGTACTCTGATCAAACAAATCTTTTTGTTAACAGCCTGCAGATGTGTTTCATTTTGATGGAACTGTCTATAGTCATCATATGTCTCCAGTTGCTACCAAACATTGTTTAATAGCAGGTATGTATGTGTTTTTAGGAAATTTCCTGCTTATTTTGGGGTTGTCATGAAAAAGCAAGAGATTCTTCCCTCTCCTGTCTTTCATTTTATAGAGAGTTAAATTATGTAAGAATTAGCTTATTGTTAAAATTAAATATTTTCAGTGACTCATGATGTTTATAATGGGAATCTTACATTATTCCAGAAGAACAAATGTGTTGTTCAATTCAGCCTCTAGGTTAAACTTCCTACATATAAACAATTTACCATCAGTTATATAAGGTAGTATTTGAAGGTTATTAGATTTGAGCATAATTGAATATATGGATATGTATTATGTATTACTTACAAGTATGTTATTAAACTGAGAGACAATATTTTTAATTCTTAAGTATCATAGGTATATCTTGTTTGCCCTCAATTTCATATTTGTTTGTAATATATTAAATTTACCTCCACTTAAAATGTAAATCTATTAATAAAATGTGTTGCAGCAACAGCCTATGTAGTACTCTGACAAAATGAAATGTTATTAGCTAACATTTTTCTTCTACTTCTTTGTCATTGCTATAATCTTTTTGTTGTTGTTCTTGTAACTACTGTGGGTTTGTTTTGTTTTGTTTTTCATCTGTCTTTGTTTTTCTTGTTACAGTTGGTACCAAAAGCCCCAAAGTACAGCTCTGTGACTTGAAGTCTGGATCCTGTTCTCACATTCTGCAGGGTACATTTTAGTCTGAAACATAAATGTTAAACAATAACTACTTTGAATGAACAGGCCCTATAAAGAAACACTGTATACAATGTATTATTTGTAAGGAACATGACTTTGTAAGCAACATTTTGTACCAGCTGGGAAAGTTACGTGGTGAAAAAAGCTTCTGGATATTGTTATAGTGGTAATGAACTAGAGAATACAAATACTAATTAATGAGGAGTTATTATAGAAATTTGGGTGTTTTCATGATAAGCTTCAATAAGATCGATGGTAGTTAATGCTTGTTGAGTATTGTTTTTCTGATAGTGCATGTTTAATACAGGTGCTGCTTTAAAAAAAAAAAAGAAAAGAAAAAAAAGAAAAATTGAAATTTTAACAAAATATCCTTTAAAGATGTTTGAATGATTTTTAAGAGGTTTCTGTGTAGAGTAAGCTACTATTCACTGTGGAAGGGTAGTATCTCATGTTTTGCTTTTATCAAATTTGAGAAGGTGCAGGTTTTTATTCTTTTGCAATCACGGTATGCTTAGTGTTGGCAGGGACCCAAAGTGGAGCATTTGGTCCTGTCCTGTTCCATTCCTCTCTTCCCCTCCAAGCAGGGCCAGCTAGCCCGTTGCCCAGAATCATGACCACTCAGGTTTTGAAAATCCCCAAGGATGGATACCTCAGCTTCTGCAGGCAAACTGCTCCTGTGCTTAGCCACACTTGCAGTAGAGGAGTGTTTTCTTATGTCCAGGTGAAGTTTCCTGTGTTTCAGTTGGTGCCTGTTGCCTCTTGTCTTGTCACTCAAGAGGTGTCTGGAACCATCTTCATAGCCTCCCATGATATTTTATCTTTATGGGTATTTCCCCTAAACTTTCTCTTCTGCAGGCTGAAAACAACACTTCCAGCTTCCTTCATGTGATAGATGCTCCTGTAGAAGATGTGGTCTTGCCTGAGCAGAGTAGAGCAGGAGGATCACCTGCCTTGGTGTGCTGGCACCACTCTCTATAATGCAGCCCATGGTGATGTTGGTCCTCCTTGTCCTGAGGGTACTGCACTTTGTGCCACTGACCACAACCCTCAGAAGCTTCAAGTTGAGAGTTTTGCAGTCCTCTTCACTGGCCACTCACCTAGTCTGTACTTCAGCAATTTGACTCTGAGAATAGGAAGGCCTTTGACCTTGTTTCCCATAAACAAGTCTATCAGTTTTTGCGTTTAGTGAAAATTTGCCCTTACTGCCATTTTGCTAATGTTCAATAAAGTTCTTTGAGTGGAGGTGAGCGATAGATATATGATCAAGTGAAAGAGTAACTAGATAAATCTGCTCATATTTCAAATAAGCAGATGAGCCTAATCTAGAGAGAAGTGTTAGCTCAGACAAAGCAACTTGCAAACACATCTTTCTTCTGAGGTCAGCTTGTCCCAAAGCAGCCTAGGTGCATTTGTGTGATGCAGAGCGTGAGCTGATAAGTCCTCCTGAAATGAATCAGCTCCATGCCAATAAAGATGGGCACCTCAAAGATCCCTTTCTAGAACTGAAAGCACTCAGGAGTGAAGACTCATCTAAAAAGAAAGTTCTCCAGAGAATTTTTGGGTTCAGTAGGCCTTCTTAATTTTGAGTTGGGGTTGGTGCTTTGCAGTCACAGGCTGATTGTGTCTTTATGCTCAGCATGGTGCAATTGGCTCAGGTGTAATATCGGGAACAGATGGAGGCAGTTCATGCCCTTCACTAAACATCATCTAAATCTTTATACAGAGCTTGACGTGCTCTATAGTACATTGCAAGTAGGTGTGAATATTTTCACATGGACTACTCTGACAACTGAAGTGGAGCTAAATTCATGCTAGACTGCAATTTACTCAGTGGAGCCAAAAAAATGTGCCTGTTCTGTGCTTTCCAAATGTATCCTGTAGTACCTTTATTATGGAGACTTTTCCATTTTCCTGAGTATCCCAGTCCTTTGGTTAACTCAGATAATGGAAAACTATCTATTTTATGAAAGATGTACCAGAAGCAACATGATTCCTGTAGCTCCAAACTGCCTAGTAATAAAAGTTTTTTGTAGGTCTCTATTTTTCGGCAATGTGTTTTTATTAGTATGTGCAGTATGGTTGTAATGCTTGTATTTAGATCAACTTACACTTCCTATTGTCTATATTTAACACTTTCTCAACTTTTTTCCGCAATTTTTAAAATCTTTTTATATTCTGGCTAAGCAGCACTTGGGGTAATACTGCTAGGAAGTCAAGAGAGACATTTAACTTAATGTGTCAGTATGTGGGGCAAAATAAAGGGAAAAACAAATCCCTAGAATTAAGGACAAGATATGAGCAAGAGCTGCATAAGGTTTTACTCCTAAGTCCATAAAGTAAATATGTTTTTTATTAAGCATCATGAAATAATTTGAAGAAAAAAATGTCCTAAGTTTCTTCTGCATATGACAGTAGCAGTGCTACTTCAGAACTTAATTACAGTGGTTACAGTAACTGTGACGATTCTGTTCTGTGCTTTGCACAACTAGAAGCAATAGAAGTTACATATGTTTGATAGTGTATGGTATCACTTTCCGCTCTCTGCAGTCCCACTAAAACAATAAGAAGGAAGAAAAACAATCTCTAGTCCAAAATAAATTTATATTACAATGTAGTTTTGAATTACTGGATCCTATAGATTTTTTTATTGAATTTATTTGCATAAAGAAGTGCATATAAATATATTCATAGAAAATCATGTAAGCTTTTTCATACCATTTTTAGGTCACAGGCAAGAAGTACTGGCAGTATCTTGGTCCCCGCGTCATGAATATATTTTGGCAACAGGCAGGTAAATATATTTCTGTACTATTATAAACAATAATGTACATTAGGGAAATGATGGGTATTTTTAATGATACAGGTATGGACTAGAATTGGCAGCATTCAGGTACTGACAAGATAGTGAGAAAAAAAAAAGGCTAGAACTGCTAAAAGGCATCTTCCAACTATTATGGTGTTAATCTAAGTTAAGAATGCACGGGAAAAGATGCATAGTTAGAAGACTGCTTATCTAAGAAGCAATTTGATAGGGTGTATGTTCCAGCTGTAGATCAAAGCAAGCAAGTGTTGGCTACTTAGTGTGCAGGCAGTGGTCTTTTCAGTGTGAACTGACTTTTTGTCTGTACTTGGGGTTTGTGGTGGCATCAGGGCACCCTGCACAGTGCATTGCTTCGTTCTGTGGTTGCAGGGTCTTCCAGCAGACAGGAGGTAGGTGGTTGCACCACATGTACCTAGAACCAACAGCGTGGATTATATAGCTGGTAGAAGGACCATGTGGGCTTGCAGGCTTGGAGCTGGGCTGAATCACAGCACTCTGAGCCTTGGTCGTTCCCTCCTTTGCCGGTCTATTGTTGCAGACCTACCTGCTGAGTCAGATTGAAGCAAGCTGTTCTAGCAGTTCTCTGCCACAGCACAGTACAGCAGATCCTATAGACACACCCAGCCTACATAAAGTAGTCTACTTGGATTACCAAGATGTATACCATAGAGCTTGATAGCATGAGAATTTTCCGGAGTTCCTGAACAGTCACTACATGCAATGCTGAATTCTGTAGCTACATTTTTGTCAACAGGAGAGTAAGTCAGTCAGTTCTAGTCTGTGAGTGTATGCAATGGTGTTATATTGTAAACAGAGACAAGTGTATTGTCGTAGACAGAGATATGCACCTAATGTGCATGCTTATAGTGTAGCAGCTTTATTAATGCATGTATGCAAAAGTCTAAAGTCTATCCTAATATCTTTTCATGCAGTTTTATTGATCTGAATGTGACTGCACAGAGCAGTTCAAAATAGTTGTTGGACCAGGGTAAGTGCTGGATAGGTTGGCTGAGATGGATACTGACTTTAGTGGAAGCAATTTCTGTAATGGAAACATCAGTACAAATTTGTTTTTCTTAGTGCTGACGGTAGAGCGAAGTTATGGGATGTGAGGAGAGCATCTGGATGTCTTACTACACTTGATCAGCACAATGGAGAGAAGTCCAAAACATTTTCTGAAGGAGGTAATGTGGAATATAACTGGTGATAAACCATACGTGACTAGCTTCATTCTTTAGTTTCATAAATGAATTGAGAATTGGAAGAGGCAAGAACAGTAGTGCTAATCCAGTTACCATGTCCTGCATAACATAAACCCCTGAATTTTATTTATTTGCTTCAGTTATGGACCCAATGATTGTGGTTGGCTGTCTTGTTTAGAAAAATCTCCTTGATAACTGTACCGTTTCTGTTTTAAATGTTTATTTCCTCTAGAATTTGGATTGTGTCATCCAGTTTTTATAGGGAAGCATTCATTCCTATCTCTCATAATGAATCACTATATGTTAGCTGTCATAATAGTACATTCTGTGTACTATAGTACATTTTAAGTACATTCTTCTAAAACAAAGACAAAACAAAACACAATTCTGAAACAAAGGTGTATAATTTGGGCAGACCAAAAAAGTGCTTGAAGAGTAGCTGCTTTGAGATCGAAATGCATAGTATTTAGAAATAAATTACATACGTTTACTCCTGAATTTGCTCAAATCATTAATACAATGATATAGGACCCTTTAGGACCCTTTCTTCATCCCTTAACTATACAGTTATCTGTTTCTTCTTTTTCTGTTCTTTTCTCTTTTTGAATTTGTGGAAAGATAAACTAGAAAATTCTGCCCTGACACATCTGTAAAATGGCTTATATATAGATATAAAAATATTGCAATTCAAAAAATTACTGAGATGAAAGCTAAGACTCTTGTAAAATTAAATAGTTTTTTAATCTAGTTTTGTTCATAAAAGATAAACAGTGGGCTTATATGCAGCTCCTGGAATAATCAGTGTAACTATTATTTAGTGTAGCAATACATGTTGGTCTGAATGATGCACTGTCTTGTTCAAGCACAACTGCTTTCTTTTCATGTTATTGTTTTTATGTCTCCAACAGGATCAAATTGATGATGATTTAGTCACGGTCAAAAAAAAATGAGATTTCATATATAGAAATATATCTGAACTAAAAACTAACACATTTGTTCAGAAAATGTTGCAGAATAGCTGAAGCTTCTTTACTTGAAAGATATGTATTATGTACTGCGCTATAATGTGGACATATCTTCTCAATGAATTAATTTGTGGGCAGTGTAATCAGTTTAGGCATGGTGCACCAAGTTCTGTTTTGGCGACTTTATTCTACTGAAGAATATGCACAATTGCAGGTGGACCAAATTGAATCCCTCTACAGTATATAATGAGCAATATGTGCCAAGTCAGCTGTATATGCCAGCTATTTATGACTGTGCATAAACTGTCATACTGTGCATGACTTTTTATGTAAAGTGATCCATGGAGATAGTCATGCTTTTTGAAACCAAAAGTTAAATTATTTAGTTATACTCTATATAGGTGAATATACAGAATAGCAATTCCATAGATATCAGAACCACCTTTTTCTTTCCTTTATTTTGTTTTCTGGCAGTAAACACTGCCCACAATGGGCGAGTGAATGGATTATGCTATACACATGATGGGCTTCATCTGTTGACTATTGGTACAGATGATCGGATGAGACTTTGGAACAGCTCCACTGGAGAGAACACATTAGTAAGTTTTTAGGGACCTTTGGTTATGTTTTTATTTGCACTTAATTTTCAATGATTGCCAATAGTTTGTGCAACCCTGGATATTCTTTTATTGTCATTTAAGGATATTGCTGCTTTATCTTAGTTTGTTAAAGATTTTTAGGCATTTTTTTTTGTTCAGGATTTTTTTCCTTATTGTTCAAAAACAAAATAGATCATGAAATGTTCTAAAAATAGAACATGGGAAAGGATCTCTTATTTGGTGCTCTTTTACTTCCTGCTGGTTAGTTTCAGAACACATCAAAAAGTATCCCATATAGACATTTAGATGAAAGGACTTTTCTCTCTTGCTGTTTATACTTGCTAGCTCCTTCTCTGCACTTCATAAACAGACATCTTTCTGTCTCCGAATCACTATCACCAAAGTAGATAATACAGTTTCTTCACATTCCAGCTATCAACTGGATCAATGTCTTTTGTTTTTCTGTGCCTGCTAGTTCCCTGACTTCTTTCATAGACTCTTGAGCCATTTTCTTAATTGGGATTGAATAGCTTGATCCCATCTTGCTAGTTAGGTCCTGAATTGTACAGTCCAGAGTCCTGTATTTTCATGCACCGCACAGATAGTTTGCTTAAAGTAGTTTTAAGTCATTAGCAGTAAAATCAATGCATGTGCAGGTAATACAAGTTCACTCCCATAGTCAGTCCTTCTTATTATCTTCATAGGGTTCATCCTTCTCTGCAGTAGTAGCACTTTCCCCTTCTCTCTTGCTGACCCCACAGAAGCACAGAAAGGAACCTGCACAACCAACTGGGGATTGTGTTAAATCTGCAGCCACCTTGGCGGAAGAGAAATGCACAGTTCACAAAAAAATAGCAGTATCTGTTTGCCAGTCTCACTTTTACTCCCCTGGATTCCCAATCCCCACCCAATTTCCTGCAGC